CTTGTCCTCTCCACGTGCACATTTTGATCTTTTTACATTGTTTTCCTAACTTACAGCTGATGCAATTCCAGAGATTGAACTAGAAAACTACAAGTTCCTAAAATTTGGTCAAAAGAAACCTCAACAAGAGAAGTAGGAAACATTCCCTGTTCCTCCAGAACATAGAAAGGCAGCCCCTGCCTGTGGCACGACACGGTCCTGGCTAGTGCTGTTTTAAAAACACCCACATTTCAGTGGTTGTTGCTCTGCCTATGAAAGTACCTTCAACCTTTAAATCCCAAGAGAATGGGTGGGGGGCCGTGTCTGCTCCTGGAGGAGCTGAATGATACTGAAATGAACTTGTCCTCTGACTTAGGGGGACTTGGGAGTGTCCCCCCTAACCAGGGAAGGGGCTGGCCCTTCTCCCTTCTCCCACATACAATAAGCTGATGACCCAGAAGAGTTCTTGATTCAAGGAGAAATGTGAGATTCTGTCTCTCTCACATGCCTACAGAAAGCGACAGAACCACACCACAACTCCCAGGCTGTAAAGGGAACAGGACTTGAATATAATATTCAAATATGACATTTATTATTTACAACAAATAACTACTGTCCCTCCTCAATGGGTGAATAGGTGCTAGGGTAGAGATGTCAGGGAGCTGGGGTGGCGTCGTCCCCTCTCTCTTGTGCTCCAGGAGGCCCCAGGAATCTGCTTACAATGCTCCCCTTCCCATCATGTGGGAACAGCTGGCCCTCTGCATCGCAAGCATCCCAGCTGTGTCCCTGCTGCTGAGGATGGGGCTGTGATCGGCCACTAGTATGGGGCTTGGTGTTGGGGCCTGGGGTCTGAGTAGAAGAGTCAGGTCATCTTGGGGGGCCTCCCTCAGAATCATGGTCCCCCACCTTGTCCCCACTGCACTGGGGGCTCCAGACCCTGTGCTCAGTGCTGTCAGCCACCAGTAGCCCATTTGTCCCTGCCATGAGAGTGATCATTTAGTATCACCTATTTCGCAGAGGAGGAAATGGAGTCTCAGGAAACTGAAGCGAGTCACCCCAGTCACAGGACTGCTCAGTAGTGGAGCTGGGATCCCAGTGCCAGCTATCTGACTCCCCAAGGCTATGCTTAGCCCGAAGTCTTACTGAACCCCTAGGAGTCAGTCACCCCGGCCCAGACACTCACTCACCCCTGACCTTGATGACGGCCATTTCTTCTTGGCCTTGAGTATTCTGCTGGCCAACTAGGTCTGGGGCTCCAGCTGGCAGGACAGGCTGTAGCTCCAGGACAGAGAGGCACCTGTGAGCCTACCAGGATTCACACCTCTGATGTCCCCCCACTGACTGCCCAGCTCTGGATTAGGGATGTCCCAGAGGTTGCCATGCAATAAGGTCTAGGGTTGACTGGGGGGCCACTAGAACAGGCTCTCTGGACTGGCCAACAGGGAGAATCCACCCCTGCCCTCACCCAACTCCTGCCTGGCCTCACCTCTCATTCTCGTTGAGCAGCTCCATGTCGTGGAACCAGGCCCCAAATTGCTCCTCGGGCTCTGGTTGTAATTCTTTGCAGCCACCTGGAGCAGCAGGATCTCCCTCATGACTCGGTATTCCTGGGACCAGAGGGAAGGAGAGGATGCAGACAGGGCCTGGGTGGGGGATGCTGCAGGCGACTTGTGGGGGGTGAGGAGTGGGGCAGGGGACCAGTGCTGGGAACCCTCCTTTCCTCCAGTTCCATCCAGGATCTACCTATTCTCAGAATGGGAATAATCAGCACCCCCTCCAGGATGTTTTCCTTGATGTCATCCTCCCCTCACCCACCCGCCAATTGGATGGGTCTCCCTCTTCTCTGTTATCAAACTCTTCC